CCTCCTCCTCCTTCTCCTCCTCTTCCTCCTCCTCCTCCTCCTCATCGTCTTCCTCCTCCTCACCTAACCCCTTCTCATCACTCTCCTCCTCCTCCTACGTCTCCCCCTTCTCCCCTAACCCCCCCTCTCTTTCTCTCCTCTCATCCAAACCACAACTTACTCATCAGGCACGACTTTGTTCCCATTGCCATGACGCGGCGTGGTGGTTGCCCCGGAGACGAATGTTGTGTTTGTCGTCTCCAGGATGTTGTAGTTGGGCGGGGCATCTGACGAGCCAGAAGTGCCGTAGGTCTTCTTCATCTGTCGCTTGAGCTGCCGGTCCTCTCGCTCTTTCTTGGTTCTGGGGGAGTTTGAAGTTTTGAGGTTGAGTTTGAGTTCTGGGTTTTGAGTTTCGAGTTTGATTTCAAGTTTGAGTTTCAGTTCGAGTTTGAGTATAAATTCATTTAAATGTAGTATTTTTACGCCCCTATCGACACAATTTATATCATTTAGGATGAGGGGTGTCAACCTTACCTCTCAGTAGCAGCCCGGTCTGAGAGAGATGCAACATCCCAGTTGGAAGACTGAGATACTCTATAAAGATTCTCGATAAAAATACATACAAAAGTATCATCCTCACTAACAACCAGTAGTAACTACATGAACTTGTAATATCAAGCCAAACTCCATCATCATTAGTATTCTCATAATCAGAACAACAAATCTACAACAAAAACATAACTGGCTGTGATGTAGTGGTTAATGACAACAACAATAATAACAACAATAACAACTACAACAGCACCACAAAAACAGTCACCACCCCTAAGTCCACCACCACCACCACCTCAATAACAGCAACAACAACAACCACAACAACAACAACAACAGCAACAACAACAACGCAAAAACAATCATCACCACAACAACAACAATAACAACAACAACAAACATAACTCTACTCACTGTAACTTGACAAGACAAACTGTGACCACAGCTACCACCTCCACAACAAAACAACAACAATAACAACACCAACCACACCACCACCAACAACAACAACATCACTCACTGCCACTTGACGAGACAGCCTGTGACTACAGCAACCACCAACAGGATGAGTACGGCGACGACAACAACAACGACAACAACAGCAACAAAAGCAGCAGCAACAACAACAACAACAACAACAACAACAACAACAACAACAACAACAACCACACCATCGCCACCATCGTCACCAACACCACCATCACCACCATCCCCCCCACCACCACCACCACCACTACCACCACCAACAACAACAACAACAACACTCACTGCCACTTGACGAGGCAAACTGTGACTACAGCAACCACCAACACGATAAGCACAGCGATGGGGATGATGATGGCGTTTGTAGTGGAGTCTATAGGAATTCCCAGGTAGGTTGTCCCTACATACGTCACATACGCGTCAGTGCTCGTCTTGATCTCGTCACGGGCGTTCTCCGCAATGACTGGAGGGAGGGATTGTGCATATTATTTATTTATCTATCTATCTACTTGTATATATTATATTATATCTTTCTATCTATAGAGATATATATTATATTATAT